CTGACAGCACATAAATAGGTATTCTTTTTTTTTCAGCCAGTTTGTAAAGCTGGATTAAAGAAGAATACTGAGCCTTTAGTAGTGTGAGTTTTGGGTGAAGGTTTGTAATTACCTCAAGAGCTACTGGATTGTTTCGAACACACCAAAACTGTATTATAAATGCAAATGTTATTACTGAGCCAGGAGCCTTACAGTGGGCGTGATCTGCTTGGTCTTTGAAGGGCTCTGATGGAGTTGGGATCACTTGCAGTCTCTTTTAGCTTTAGAGAAAGTACCAATGTATTTCTCAGAGGTGATATACTGCGTATAAAACACACACACACACACACACACACACACACACACACATTGTATTACATATATATTTCATATATATACATAAGTTTTGAGGTTCTGTTTTAAATTGCAAGTTCTCTGTAGTAGGGAGAGGTTATAAAGTAGGGAGTGAATCTGAGATGGTGCAGTGTAGTGCTTATCCCCAGGTGATAAGCTGATTATTTAACATTACTTCAGTCCAGCTTGCGCTGACATTCTAGAAAGAAGATTTGTGTTTCAAAATTCTCGGTATCCCTAGGATACAGGTACTGATAATCAAGCTTAGGCCAGAACTAAGTATATGCACTATCCACATCCAGTGGCATTTTTATTCCAACGTACAGTGATGAAGCCTCGAGTCCTTCTGAAAGCTCACAGAAAAAAGGCAGTGGCTGAGTGCATTTCTTTAAATGTGCATAGTGTAGCTCCTTCTGGGTCACAGCTATAATAGCAACAGTTCCTAAGGACCCTAAATAGTGAAATCTCAAGCCAGCAGAAGCAAGCAAACCACAGCGGCTGGGTGCTGACTCTCCAAAAAAGCACAAAAATACCCTAGAGCCTCAGCCTACTTACACTGTGTCCCTGCTCTATCACTGTGCATGCAGCTGAAGTGAGAGGGCTTTGATTTATGAATCGGCAATTGTGTGTCCCTGCAGACCAGCTTGTATCACAAATAGAGGCTGAGTATGTATTTCTTTCATTACTCTCGCTGTTTGCTATTACTGCTTTCTCCAACCTTCTTCTTTTGTGCCCTTCTATCCCATAACTGGTCTTCACCTTGAGTTTGCCAAAAAAGCCTGGGAAAAAGCTCCAGGCTTTACTGTCTCTCTCCATCTTTCCTCGGGTAATTTTTTTCCTCTTCATCTTATTTTTGGGCAGTACGTAGAATTGTATGGATTAGTTTGAGAGTAGGAACACCATATGAACCACGCAAGTCCTTTGTAATACAGAAACAACTGCATCTTATGTGAATATTGTATGGGCTGCTAAGACTGACTGGCTTTTTTGTTGTTTTACCAGTTTGTATGGAAACTACTTCCACCACACTCTCCTTTTTCCTTTAACCTCTTATTAACCTGCTAACCTTCCTAGTTCGATGTCATAGTTGGAAAGTAGTGACTTCTATGTACAAACCTGTTCATGGGCTGCTGCTGACAGTGTCATTATATTAAGATGGACCAAGTGTCTTCTGGGGGCTGCCTGCATTTTTCCTGTAGAGAAGTGTGTAGGGCAGTTGTTGGCTCATTGAATATGAGCTCCTTGAGCTGCTATAGAGTAGACATTAGCTGATGCTTACATCCTTAGCTCAGCACATTTGATATTTCAAGAAAGATCTTGAATGGGGAGATGATAGCGCACCTTTTGACTTGGATGAAGGGACAGAGTGCTCCCTCCGCAGATTTCCTGATAGTACAAAACTGGGAGCAGTGAAGGGCCATGAAGATGAGTAAGGAACTGGAGCATCTCTCATGCAAATTGAAGCTAAGCGGGCCGGGACTGTCCAACCTGGAAAAGAGAAGGTTTCAGAGGGATCTCACTAGTGAATAAGAACGTCTGAGGGTGGGAGTAAAGAAGATGGACTCTTTTCAGTGGCACCCAGTGACAGAATGAGAGGTCAAGGGCACCAACTGAAATAGATGAAAYTTTGTGTAAACATAAGGTGGGGTGAAACTCTTGCACTGTGAGGAGGGTGGAACAAATTGCCTAGGAAGTTGTGGAATCTCTATCCTTGGAGATGCTCAAATCCCTGTAATGTGCTCTGCATGTTATCCTGCTTGAGCAGGGGGTTGGACCGGACCATCTCCAGAGGTCCTTTCCAACCTCCATGGTTCTGTAATTCCAGTTCTCTGTATCCCTTCCAAGCCCCATACCCAGCTCAAGTCCTTGGCTAATCCAATTAGCCCACTTCATAATTGGCTGTAATGCAACACGTGAGCAGAGTGTGCAGCCACAGTGATGGTGTTAACCAGCCATCAGCTGACTTAGACGTGAATGTTGGGCTGCATCTCTAATTCAGGAGAAGGTGATTTGGCAGCAACAGGTATGTTTCTTGTGTTCAGGTTCTGCTTGTGTTAAAGCCCAACAGCCAATCTATACTCCAAATCTAACGTATTAAAATGAAGCTGTGAATGCTTTCCCATGATGATAAAACGTATGGAAATAGTGCTTACCGGGATTTACATAAGGTAATTACCTTTCCTGTACAACCATCCTCTGCTAGTAGGAGCAACAGCAGGCACATAATGTAACAGATCTTACAGCGTGTCTTTTCTAACAGCCTATAACGTTTGTATTAACAAAGAGAATGGAAAGCAGTGTTAAATGGTAATTGCGAATAGCTTGCCATTTGTAATTTGTCTTACAAGGTATTTGTAAAAGAAAACATTTTTAAAAAACAGAGGAATGCAGAAGGTAGAATGGTTGCTGCACCTTTTTTTCTGTTGCTGACTATACTCAGTGTGTTGCCAAAAGATACTAAATGCATTTCTACCTTCATCAAGGTAACTGAACTTTATTGCTATCACAAAAATTAACTTCATGTTTCATCTGTAAATGATGAGACTCTCATTTTCAGCCTCGTTGCCTGCAGTTCACTCTGTTGCTCCTCTTATGAATAAGAAGAAAAAAGTTTGAGAAACATGATTTCTTAAACATAATTTCATTGTAATAATGGAAACTTCTGTTAGTTGCATTACCTCCTTTTCATTTGTTCTTYCTTTGGTGGTATCTACTTTTCCTCAAATGCCCAGATCTTTTTTACACTAGATATTGGTTAATTTTTTAAATGCTTGATAATGAACAGATTTTTTAAAATTTTTATTTTTTTTWAAAAAAAGCCAAGCCCTTCAGTATTTTCTACTCTCTGGGTGAAAGCTTGTTGGTATTGCAGGGATTTGTGTAAGGGGTGGGGGATTTGAAAATCAAAACACTTAAGTGTGTTTTTCCTCTGAACTGAAGAGCAGAGATTAGGTAGGGCAAACTTTAAAGACAGATGTTAGTCAACCATGTTATTACTTGTTTAAATTTAAATCTAAAGCTTGAATATTTRCACACAGTGAAGAAAAAAATATAAGTATCTTCAAGTAAGAATCAAGTTAAAGAATACTCATTAAAAAAGAGCTCTGTTGAAATAACTCTACTTTTACATTKAAGGTTTTCTTTTGGAGAGCGGAGAGCGTTAGAGATGAAAATGCACCTTTCAAGCTTTTTAGGTAGCAAATATTTGATAGAAACCCATTTTATGAACAATTGTGGGCTCAGTCTTTACATCTGTGGACTCCTTTTACATTGGTGAGTCTGGTATAGTCATGCCCTTTACGGGGGCTCCCTCTAGTGAGCTCCTGGGTTAAGTCCTTTTTTTTTCTTAGTTTTGCAGTACTTGACACATTTATTTTATGCCAAAACAGACGTTTAGTATAAAGTTGAAGGAAGCTGGGTTGGTTAGAATGAAGGACAGAAAACTGTGGGATGGATCTGGAGGAAAAACTGTAGATGTGGGGCCTAAATCTTCAGTTCTTTATGTTGAGGATGCTTTGAACTCCTCATATGTACTGCTGCGTGCGGTAGCGGCTAGGATTTCTGGAAGGGGAACCACGAACGTGTCATGTAGTTCATGGCTATTTAGTAGGTAGTGCCTCGCATTCTTGGGAAGCAGCGTCCTTGCTTGCAGAGCCACCTTCTCATATGGCATTAGGTAGCCTTTTAACTGACCTGGCTGAGATGCTGCTTTTCCTTGTTTACCCTGGCTTAAAATTGTAAGTTTTGCTATATAGGATCAGGCTAAAGAATGTCTATGAATTTTTCCAGTTTGTTCTTTTTTTCTGGTGTGGGGTGTTTTTTTTTTGACATCCACAAAAATGATAGGGATAAAGACTTTGATTTCTTTTTCTCTCACAACTTGTAGCTGCCCAGCGGAGGGCAGTGCATCTTTAATGCTTATGGATAAATATGTTTTGTGTGTGTGTTCTGGATAGACCTGACTTCTTCAACAGTGTTCAGAAGTGTCACTTCTACTGCTTTTGACCTAAAAGAGAGAGAACTTCTTTTTCTGCCTTTTTTTTTTTTTTTTTGTTTGTTTGTTTTGGTCCTCGAGGTTCCTTTTGAATGAAACTTTCTAAACCTCTGTGTTTTCCAAACCTCATTTCCCTCCTTTTTCCACTTGCGTGAGGTTTCAGGAACATCCTGGCTTTTGGCATGAACATACACCCTGGCAGATCCCCCTGCTGCTTCCAGGCCAGCTAACCACCAGTTCCTGGTGAATTAGRGATTTCCAGAATCATTTCAGAAGGGGAAGTAGATTTTGTGAGCAGCTGCTTTAGGTGTATGTGAAGGAAGGGTGTCCAGCTTGGCAGGGACCACCTCACCTTCCAGGAACACGGCCCAGCAAAGGACCAGGTGTCTGGCAGCGCGCGCTAAGCTCGGAGGCCCCAGAGTGTTTGCAGGAGACTTTGAGCTCGTGGCAGCRTTTTCACAGATGGAGATTGATGTGAAGGGCTGCCCTTCCAGAACAGAGCCCTGGCGGGGGACTTGCTGCCTCCTCCTGYGGTGCCGGTGCCCTCTGGAGCCGAAACCGAGAGAGGTTCTGGAGCAGCCACCCCAGCAGCTCCCAGATACCAGCCCTGTGCTTCCCAGGCATGGCGTTACCACATTGACGATTTGCTTTTTATTACTTTCTTTTCTTTTAGGTGAAAGCACTAAAGAAGAAGCACAGGGGAAGAGAAGCCTGAGTGAGAAAGTGTCCCTTTACCGAGGTGACATCACGTTGCTCGAGGTCGATGCCATCGTTAATGCAGGTAGGTAGTCCGATGCTGCGGTTCTAGCTTGGAAATCCTTTGCAGTGCTACAAATAGGGAATYCCGAAAAGCTACGCAAAGCACAATCTGATGCAAAGCTGTCTGGAAACTTCTCTTGGCCTTTCTAATTTCTGCATGTTGCACCTGTTCATCATCTGTGCCATTACCGTGCCCAGGATTGCTTGAAAGCTTTCACAGTGCAGTCMCTAAGAGACAGTAATTCTCTTGCATTTATTTTTTAGCTCAACTTTGATTAGCTGAGACTTCACGCCATGTATTGTAGAAATCAGAACTTAGGTACTGGCGTTCATTCCATTTCGGGTTGTTATTATAAATCAAGCCATTCATAGGCTAAATACAATGGAAATTGTTTAACATACTCAGAACATTGGCTTAATTTTTATGTAATTTGCTTGCCTGTTCTTTTTTTTTCCTGTGGAAAACAATCTTTCAATTTCTGTTCAAAGCTCTATATGTTTTAAGATCCAAGTAAGTCTTTAAGACCCAGTTAAGACCCATGTCTACAACAGAGGTGAAGAACTGTCTGGTAGGTCCATGTGATAAAAGACTTCAAAGATGTGTTAGAGGGACAGAAATTGATCAGGTAATGGTTTTGCTCATGTATTATGTTACAATCAATTGATTTGGTTGGAGTGGTTGCTACGGAAGGATGTTCTTTCATATTATCTATACATGTATTGGAGAGCAACATACGGTGGTATCTTCAGTAATGGAACAAAGTGCCCAGATCCCTAAGGTTGCGTTGACCCAAGTGGATAAGTTTGGCTACTGCAGTAAAAAGCTACATGGGGACATAGACATTAATAAAGGTAGATGAGACATAGAAGTCTCTGGTATTATTTGATGTTATTTCTATCTGCGTAACTCCCTTTATAGCGGAGACATGCCAGTGGATTTAATGGAGTAGAAGTAGCTTCTTTAGTTATCATAACGTGCCTTTTCATCCTCCAAGTAAAGAGGATAGTATCTTCGTTAAAAATGTCTTTAAGAATTTTGAGTTTGCTGATACTCAGAGGCAATTAAAATCAACATATATACGAGCATTTTACAAAAAAGGATTAAAGAAAGCAACTAAAAYCACTCTATAAAGCAGAGTTTGAAAGGCCTGAAGAGTGACATAACACTCTGGAAATACCAAGGAGGCTGCTGCTAGMAAGTGGGTTTTGTTTGTTTGTGGTATGCTGTATGTTCTCTCTTTAGGCTAAGAGAAGTGGGATGTGGGCCTAGTAGATGTTCAGATTAGATATTGGTAAAACTACTTAATGGAACRTGGATAGTGGTACTCCGGTGATAGCTGTCGGACTGATAGGTAACCAGCATCCCAGGTTAGGATGTTGCTTTAAAAAAAAACAAAAAACCCCACCAAACTTCCTTGAATTTTTGCTGTATAAGAAAGACTGTACTAACTTAATTCTTTCATTAAGCTAATAAAGTATTTTGATGGATATTATGTAGCTAAATACCATGAAATAATTGATCACTGCTGGAGAAGGATCCTGTTTTTGTCTGGACTTGGGCAGGCGCTGAATGTTCCTTGTTTTCTAAACATGTTCTAAAAATATTTTATGCTAAAACAGGTCAACTGTGGAAATGGTGGAAGGAAAAGGTTGTGGCATTTGCTCACGTTATTGCAATATGTATCATGCTATTGCTCACGTATCACAAGCAATTTTCAAGTCAATCAATTGGATCAGGGTCAAGATCTTGTATTTTTCTCTAAAAGAGTGACTGTATCTTGTATTTTTTTCTAAAGAGTGACTAGCGCAGGGGTGCGGTGTGACTGGCATGGTAGCTGAAAAGAGGGAGCAGGTGTGCTGTTTTTGCCAAAATCAGTGTGAATTATGTAACTGTTGGGGGAGCATGCTGGAAACAATGCACTAAGTGGTGCTAGTAATTGTATTGCAGACAGGTCCTAGTTCACCTTGGTGTTCTGTCTAATATATCTGGTTGCATCAATTTCCTGCCCTTCTTTTTAGGATTTCTGTTGAGATTTGTACAAAAGTCTTATTTTTACTGCTTTATCCTTTTCTGTTCTTTCAGTATTGCACAGTAAGAACTTGAATGGTTTCTTCCTTGAGGTGTGCTCTTGGTTGCATGAATTCATGATAACTGACCTTTTGAACAAAACCATTATTTTTAGATGCCTATTAATCCTGCCTGCAGGTGCTTACAGTAATTTTGGAAGTCGGATGGTAAAAATTAGCCAAGTTTCAAATAGTCTCCTTTGGAAGCTGCTTCTGTGTGTATTTAGGGGAAGGGAGGGGAGTTCATTTGGTTCTCCCTACCCCTTTTCTCTCAGCTTATTTTAATGCACATCTTATTTSTACTGCAGATACTTCTTGTACAGAAGTATTTCTGTAGACCAAATGGATTATATGAGAAGTATTTTCAGGTAATACTGGAATCCTTAAGTCACAAAACGTGATTGAGTACATTCTTTCCCGCTGTTTCTGCTTGCCTACTGCCTCTGTTTATTAAACTGAGGAGCATTTAGTGTTAAAGTGTTCTCATGGCTTATGTTGGTATGATGCAATAAGTCTTTGATAGTTTTTAAGATGTTCTTTGAAGGAAAAACAACAAAATAATATGAAATCCAGCAATCATGGAGCTTATTCTCCTTACTTTGAGATATGTTGTTCATAGAGCAGCCTGGCCCAGATGCAGAAATAAGCAGCAAACGCATCAGTAAGACTTGAAAATCAATGGTAAAGTATTTGTAGTAGCAGCTAAGCAGTAAGTAKTATTCTTCCTGGGCTTTTTAGAAAACATAGCCAAGAAAAGGGTACTTGTTTGTTCTTTATATTATATGTTACTTTTAAAATGTGAAGTAGGTGCAGCAGTTGAATTTCTCAAAGGGTGGTGTGSGGGGTGGGTGTGTGTACACCTTAGATGCCTTAAACAGCAGTTTACCACTAGTGGTTTCAAATTTTCCTTCATTCATTACTTGTTAATGTATTGCTTGGTTCAGATAAGATAGCATGTGCTAATGTGATTATGAGTTAGTTTTCACTAGGAATACGAATGAGGAAAAGGAATAGTGTTATGTGGAAAAATCAGGCTCATTCTCCCATATTTATTTGATTGTGCGTGGTAGGAATGACAGAGGGCTATAGGAGATGTTATTTCTTTTGGCTCTAAAAACTATTTTTGTGCAGTTCTACAAAGGTATGATACCAAGAATGGAAACTTCTCAACTCCAGGAAAAGGACCAAAATCTGCTTGAGTAGAATTGATGGCTGAGTGTACAATGTCACYTGTAAATTAGCAGCTAGTAGGCTGCTTACTTGGCAAACCATGTGATCATTGGAATTATTCCTAATTTTCTCAAATTTGGGGAAAAAGCTGTAACCTTTTAAAAAGAATATTTTAGTTTTGGAAAACGGATGAGAATATCTTGTTCTGTGGTAAATAGTGAAAAGAGTTAATGTACAAAATAGTTGAACAACTTTTGATTTCCCTTTTTCCACTGACYTCTGCTGAATGAATTTCCTTGCTGAAGCTCACACTGTTCAACAAACGATCTCCTCTTCAGGAAATAATTTACATATCTAAATTGAGATTCCCAAGTTATTTCAGCAAAAGAGCTGGTTCAACAGCAATAAAGTGCAGAGTTGTCTTAGCTTCCCTCGTATAATGTACAGTGCCTGCTGTGAGAGAAGGTACAAAAAGAGAATGGAAGCTCTTAGTTGTTTAATAAGAAAGTGTTTGCAGGAAGTGGATTATGTTTGAATCTTTTTTCATAGATCTGTGAGAATTTTAAATGTTTGTCCTGCTATATGTCTCTGTCTTGATGTTTAAAGCAAATGGTATTGGAGAAGAAAAAGCTCTGTTTTGAATAGGCCGTGTTTGCTTTGCTTCCCAGGTAAGTGATTCTGACTGGAGTTTCTGCATGATTAGATGTACAAAGTGAAATAAACACTTCCTATTAGATCTCAACATTTTCTAATAAAATATGCTGCTTTTCTTCCGTCAAGCTTTCAGTTTCAAAGCTGTGTTYGGTAATAAAGCAGCGGATATTATGCCAGATCTTATTTTTTTTTATTTTTATTTTTCTCCTCCTCCTTYCCTCCACGCTTGACCTTGAAGCATTACCATTTTTCGAGGCATCCCATTTTGTCAAGATCAAAATTAAACTTCAAGGTAGAGGTATTTTATGTATTCAATTTAGGGACTGAACATATTAGCTGTGAATTATGCTTAAACAAATATGTAAGCATAGRTGCTAGCTGAACTGCACCTTTCCACATAAACAGCTTGTTAATATGCAATCAGTCACTGCAGTTGCCTTGAACTTGGTGCTTAATGAACAGGTGGGGAAAAAGGATGAATTCTAATCTGAAGCAGATCTGACATCAGGTCAATCCCCTGATCGCTAATCCATGTCCTTTGGCAACTTAATTTATCATACAAAAAAAAAAAAAAAAAAGAAAAAATCATCTAGTAGCTTCCGACGTAGAAATTAATTTAGAAATGGCCTCTGAATATTAGGAGGGTGTCTGAATTGTAAACTGGATCTGAACTGGTATTGCATATATAATAAACGACCTTTTTTATTTATTTTCCCTACTTTGCTCAGCTGGGTAAGGACTGATTAGCTTTGTCATTTTTTGGATAATCACACCAGTATGGCGGAAAGCTCTAAGGAAGGCGAATTCACACGTAGGGAGTGTCTTGCCTGTCACTATTACATCTCATCCAGAATCCATGCTCAGCTGGAAGTTGGTATGGAAAAGAAACTTGAGCCATAACGTGAGGGATATTTTTATTTTTATTTTTTGAATTGGATGGCTTTATCTGGTGTGCTAATGACTTAATAGCTTTTATAACTTGTGTGTGTTATTAGGGCGTGCTTAAAACAGAAGATGCCTTTTTTAAGGCTTTGTGTTAACACAYATGTTAATATGTGGCTTTATGAGACAGGAGTGTTCAGTGACTTCCTGGGAAGCCATAAAAAGCTTCACCGGAGAAGATGATAAACT